GGTGAATTCAAAGTGAAAATGTTATATATAGGTCTAGCGACCTCCAACGGTATCAGGAGTAGAGAGTATGGAAGGTAGCAGACTGGTGGATTGGGCATCATGAAATTGTGGCGTGTGGAACCGCAATGCACAACTGCTAAAGCAAAGAATTGTACGACTTAATGTACGATATTGTGTAGTAGTACGGTGCGGTTACACACAACGCAGTTCACAACGCCTAATTCAGTTGTACGTTCCCTCTTGCTTCCCCATGCTCTCCCCTGAATGCTGATGGACTTTGGTGTTCGCCTGCCGATGTCCGGTAGCTAACGCTTGAGTTCTTGTGTAGCAGCACGGAAACCACACTTACCCGATCATTGAGCTTAGGGAAGCATGGCAAATAGCTTCGCTGGAAACCATCCAGACCATGCGTCAGCTGTTGGAGGTCTTTAGCAAAAACTCGCGCCGTGACTCACGCTCGCAGGCATGCGTACGAAATCAACACGATTTGTCTTGGCTATAAAAAACACCACCGCCTTGCTTGTTTTCAAAGAACACAAAAATGTTCGGGGTCTTTTGTATTCATAATTTACAATAAAAAAGAGGAAAAACTTGTGAAACAAAAGAAGAAAGGCCTAGATTTCCGAAAGTGTGCACCGCCTTGTGCTCGTTGTATAGGAATGAAGTAGCGAAAGGACACTTAATTCCCAGTTTTGCAAAGGAAAGTAAGTGTGATTACTGGGATTTCTCATAAAGTTGCTCTTCAGGTGGTGGTGCGAATGAGAACAATGACGATACTGTTTCCCAGTGGACCACCAGGCACAGTATCAACGTTGAGTCAACGATTCCGATGAACAATCTTGCCAACCTTCTGTGCTCAACACACTCTGAGGCTCCATCGCTTATTTCTGGGTCAGTTTGAACTCATAACAAATATTCTTCGTAGATTGTAAGAGTTAGAGAGTCTTCATAACAAAGTTCAGTGTCATTTTATTGGAGTGAAGCACCATTATTTGAAAAGAATTTGGGGCGCCAATGTAGTTCGGGGGGGGGTGTACTACTAGCCATTGCCCCCGTATCTCCTCCCCTAATCAAGGCTTAGGCTGAGTGAAAGCTATATCTTCCTTGCGGGAGCAGAGTCAGGCACTACGCTGAGAATTGGCAAGTCGGTACAACCTGCTCCCTAGAAGAGGGTGTCTTACAGGGCTCCCTCGCTGCGGGCCTACTTGTCTGAAGTTTGCTACTTGGAACGACGTAATTTCGAGTGCGATTTGGCTCCAGCTGCGTCACATTTCAGCACCACGGCCAGATACAACCTCCCCTCCCTCCGTTTGCGATTCCTCAGTGAATGCTTGACCTATGCAGGAGTCTCCTTCGACGGTCTTGTCTTCTGCGTGCTGGCATGAGATTTTTGGGGAAGGGATACCTAAGCGCGTCCAAGTGATCCTCCCCACAAACAATGTTAGCGCCGGTTTTTATTGTTATAATGTGGCATGTGCTATGCATGTGCTAGTATTGTAATTGTCTTCTTATATTTTCTTTTTTATAGGGCTGCAGCAGATAATTTCGGAAGCGAGGGAAAGAGGCAGAATGATGTTCAGAATAAGACCCTCAATCAAGAGGAAACTGCTATCCTTATGGGTACTGTGAACACTGTACAAACTTCTGCTACAGACTCTACACTAGTGGATGCTCGTGAGTTGATTCTGCTGGGAACAGGGCACGGCATTTGTTTTGTAAAATTTGAGGTAAATGCGAGTCCCGTCCCCCACTCCCTCGCTCAAC